TACCGGAGATTCTCAGCTGCATACAGGGCAAGGAGCAGGCACAGGCGAAGGTCAAGCACCCCATCCTCAAGCATCAGGCGGTCAAGCAGGAACCGCTTCCAATGAAACCAGCGCTTCCCATTATTCAGAAGCCGCACATAACGCTTCCACCCAAGAAGAATCCCACAAACTTTGTCAAGCTGGAAGGTTCGCCCGGCATTGCATTACCTGCCAGTGTATCTATTGTGCCCGTGGAGCCAGTTAAGGAGCCACCGCCGCCGGAGACCGAGACGAACATAAATCTGTCGCCCGATTTTCGGTTTCTCATGAAGATATTGCCCAAACTGGAACAGCTGCCCGAACCGCACAAACAGCATGTCAAGCGTTCCATACAAATCTTTGTGGAGGAGAGCTATAGCCATTATGGCAAGAAGGAGTAGCACAGCTAGAGGAAGTTGTCACTTATCATTTTAGAGTTTCCTTATAAGTTCCCCTGAGGGCAATTTTATAAAACAATTTTATATTCGTTGTCGAAGACTGATGCAAAACGTAACATACATATTTTTAATGTACCGCCGCGCTGGTGCAGACCCTAAATTATTAAGATGCAAATTCTATAGAGCCCTGTCGAAAGAGACTGGGTAAACAATTTATATTTGTAGCCATAAAGAAAAAACTTGAATTCTCAAAAAAGGAAAACATAGTTTAAGCACAGAATATATGAGAGCTTTTAAGCCAAGAACTGAATTTGTAAATTCTACTTTCTTCCAAGAGAAGCTAATCATTTTTCGGCTGTCTTAACATGTTGTGGCGCCATCTGTTCACAGGTATCGACACTATAGTAAGAGTACTGCTGCGTACGCAAGCAGTGATAAGCAGTTTATATACTATGTTATTTTTATACAAAAAAGTTCCTAACAGCTGTTAAATTATTTACTCCTCGCTGTTAATAACATTGTAACGTTTGCACACGCAAGCAGTGCAAAGCAGTTGAATATTTATTTCAAACTTAAACGCGCCTTTTAATTGGATTTAACACATATATATTACTTTTTGTATTTAATATTTAAATATGTATGTAAAATATGTACTTACCAAGTTTTTAATACAAATACGCACAATTGTTTTATTATCCATTTTTAGATGGTGGGAAACAGACACATCTATAAAATAAAAGAAGGCTTAGAGTGAGAAAAGAAGAAAGGGAAAATAATCTGTTCTTATCTATTCTACAGAGCCTCCCGAGTTCAAAGAGGTAAACCTTTCCAGATCGGACATTTAAAGTTTTTGAAATTTTTTTGAATTGAAATATCTCGAGTATTTGAAGTCCGATTTTCAAATAGTATACCTTATTTTACTTGTACACACCAGGACTAAGGATTGCCACTCAAAAATTTCAATTCCAAGTTGTGACCAAAATCGACATAAATGGCAAGGGGTAACATCACAATTTTGGCGAAAATCGGCTCGGTTCTGAAATCAAGAATTTTTGATTCCAATCTATTCTCTGGAGTCTCACGAGTACAGAGATGCAAATCTCCCCCGAATCGGGCTTTATTTAGCTGAGATATGGGCACCTAAAGTTTTTGAAAAATCTCTTAATTGGAATATCTCAGGTGTATGAAGTTCGATTTTAGAATGACACACCTGTTTTTACTTGTTCGAATCAGGAATATTGAAAGAAAATTGAATTTTTAATTGTGACCAAATTTGAAAAAAAAAATTAAGTTGTTTTCGAAAATGGGAACTGGAAATGGGCTCTGTATTCAAAAATTTTGATTCTAATATTTTCTATTGAGTCTTACGATTACAGAACGCCGTAAATCTATTCAAGCTCGGATTTCTTTTAGCCAAGTTAAGTAAGTAAATTTAATTTAATTGAAATATATCTCAGAGTTCTTTCACTATAGATATTTTGAAAACTTGCTAACTGCTCCCATTAAAAAAGAAAAGTTTAAAGTTTTGTTTTCGTATCTTTTGTTTTGCATTGTAATTCCAAAGAACTTTATTTAGTTTGAAAGCAATTTTTACTGTTTTTCTTGTTCGATTTGTTGTTGTTGTTGTTGTTTTTGTTTTGGTTTTTGTTTTTGTTTTTGTTTTTGTTTTTGTTATTCTTGTTATTTGTTTTCAGTTGTACGTTATAATATTAGTAAGTCTAATGGTTGTTTTGGTTTTAGTTAATACAATGGGTTAGTTAGTGTGTATTATGGTATTATGTTAAGTATGTAATCCTTGAAAAGTATTTGCTCGCCTTTAATATATATGCTAATGTACAATTGTTGCTGCGTCTGGCGCATAACTATACGAAGAATTTAGTTAGTGTATTTAATGGTTACGTTTTGCGTGAGTAGATATCATAATTACATATATACAGGTTAAACAATGCTTGCTTTAATCTAACGATTCGCTTCCGATTCCGATCGAATCTGAAAGGTGAAAGGACATTTGGCTCTAACGCGTGCAATTTTCTTTTGTTTTTGTTGAGAGCTGCTCTACTAGATATTGGATTTTCATATTTGCCGCCCAAAATGTGCTACATTGCATTTTCACATATACATTTATAGAGTTTGTGTGTTATATATATATATATTCATTTTTACAACATTTATCGAATTTCCCATATAGTTATCATAATAATATTGAATAAGCCTGACTTCCAGTATGTCTGTAAATATTGTATATGCCATTGTTAACTACTCGTACATTGTTGTGTGTCCTACATAATTATCGGGGAGTTATCTTTTTAGAAGAGGTGTTTCTCTATAGGTATATATATATAGTACGACGGCTAGATTTGTTAGTTGCTCGTGTGCTTTTTACATGTTGCTATTATTGGGGCATGCATAAGAAAAGTTACACACACGCCGGCTTACATTTGACTCAAATATCATCAATGAGAAGCAATCACAAAGTTTTCTCTCTCTATATATATATGTATTATTTAGTACACATACCATAGATATTATCGTTTAATTATAATTTCTTCTTGTCATGTATTTACAACATTTTCTTTTCTTTTTTTCTTTTGTGGAGTTCTTCATTAGCCCCCAATTTTTGGGGGGGTAAGCAACTACGAGCACATTCATAATCTGAAGTTTTTAATGGGAGGGGGGGCTTTGCTAAGATTTAAGCGTGTTTTCTACTCACATTTACATCAAAACTTTGTTAATGCATCGAATATTTTATATATCTTTCATTTTGTTTTTTGGGTTAAAAAACTGTGTCACAATTTCTACAAACAGCCTTTTGTTAAACATGTCAAACGTACATTTATGTATTTTGTATGCAATATTTAATTAGTTTTTTTTTTTTTTTGCTTTTTCTGTGTTTAAGTGTTTTACATTTTATAAACTTTTCTTTACATGTTTTTGTTTTTCTTTCTTTATAACCTGAGCGCAATTTTTTTTCTGTTAAGAAAACATTATCTTTACTTTTTAATGCTTGCCAAAAAGTTTGTTAGTTTTATTTATTTTATTTTTACTTACTGGCACAAATATTCGTGTTGTTCATAAATTTGGATTTGTATTTGCCTTCCAATTGAATATTTTTTATTAGTTATGAGAAATATTTAACAGCAGCCTCACGAACCGCTCAAAAATGCTTTATAATAAGTTGGTTTTTGCAAAGTTCCCTTTTTGCCAAAAGGAAATGTAGCAAAATGTTAATTACCTGTACTTGAATATATCTGACGAGTGTTGAAAGAGTTTTCTTTTCAGTTAATCTTGCATATATTGTCCATACATACACATATATTTGTATACATATATATATATATATATCTCGCATATAGTGCTTAGTTTGGTTTATTCTTGCGAAAAAAAATGCATATACGTATTTATAGCTATAAATTCTAATTGCAAATGCATTGGGTTTGCGGTTTACTAGATGGTACGGCACACGTGCACCCTACCCAAGCGGTAGGGTGTGCCACAAGAAAAGTGAAAAAATAAAAACAAGGAATAAAACAAAAGAGTTGCTTCGGTTCTTTTTTTATACAAACAGGTTTACACAATTTTTTTTTATTTTCACTCTGCAGCCATTATGAAAAAAAACGTTACGATAAACGTAGAGTCTCGTATATTAGGTAGTTTATACGTAGGTTCTACTGTATAATTAGCACATATAACTATGTAGTACTGCTCCACAATTGGCTTTAGATCAAATACTAATGCAGTTATGCAGTTGTTTATAGTTTTAACTTAACTTAGCTAACAATTACACATATGCGTTGCTCTCTTATTGAAACATAAGCGCCACAGAATTTATAGACAAACTGGCTTAAACACACATTAAACCTTAAGAATCCATTATAGTTACGTTTATATTTCGATTTTTTAAAGGATTTATGTTTGCGGTTGCGGGTTCTAATTCATCTTCATCTGCTTTTGATAGCAATTGAAAGTTGTGCAAAAATGTACATGTCCATCAGGATTCAGATTAGAATCTGATCTATTATATAAGTATAGTCATATTTGTTGTTGCTTTAACTAAAACAAAACTAGTTACGGCTTACGAGTTACTTGGATTACCATATATATACACATACGTATGTATATATATGCATGTATAAGTATTGGTGGGGTGTTAATGTTATGTACATGGTGCTTACATAAAGTCAAAACGAAATTAATGCACTACATTAAATATGCTTCTATGTATGTGTGTATGCATGTATGTATGGATGTATGTAAAATGTGCTTAGTATCTAATTTATGATGATAATTTTGCATTGTATTCGTTTTTCTTTATTTATATTATTATAGTTACAAATTACAATTAATAAACTAAAAGTATATATATTCAATGTGTATGTGTATGTGTGTGTGTGTGTGTGTGTTTTAGCCTTAGCATTCGAGTATGTGTGTGTGTGTGTGTGTGTGACCAAAGACTGTAGTCTATATATATATATATGTATATATAAGAAAAAATTGTTATTTATAAACAAAAGTAGCGGCTATGTGGGAAAATAGAAAAGGAAAATCGTCTTTTTTACGGCATCGGCCAGTTGCCAAAATTAACCGTTACATTTGTAGTTTTCACCCACGATTTCCTTTTCGCTTTTCATCATGTTTTTTTTTTCGTTTTGAGATCTCCGTGAAAGTTTGAATTCATATTTGTTTTCCATCAATTCTTTAATGTCGTCTTTAAGCGTACGCTAAATTAATGCATATATAAGTGTACTATATATGTGTGTGTATATATAAATATATAAATATATATATATATATGTATATATATATATATGTGTGTGATTAAAAACTACATACATAAGAAAGCAGCACAGTTAAGAGTCGAAGAAATTGGGTTTAGAAATTGAGCGTATTTTGTATGCACAGCACAGCGCCTACAATTTCGAGAATTTTAACTTTTTATCCAAAAGACTTTAAAAATTACGAATACACAACTACACATATGTAATGGATATATATGTATATGTACGTAGGTATATATATATATAAATATTATTTATATATAGTTGGCTACATTTTGAATACATAATTCAAGCATTCAAAATTTGCAATTCTTCAAACATTTGGCTTTCTACATTCCGCGTGTTATCCAACAACATTTCTGACATTTATATATATTGCATATAGGCGCGCTTGTCAACCATCTCTTTTGTAAGGAAATGAGAGAACTCAGTCTTAAACATACATACATTTAAATATATATATATATATATATATGGGGTCTAGAGATACTAACAGATCTATGCAGAACTGGCGTTCCTTTAGCTATAGCATTTAGTTGGCATGAGCATTTGTTGCTACTTAAAAAGAATACGAAAATTGGCTGGGTTTTTGAGAGGGGAAGAAGGGGGAGGGGAGCGGGGGGGGGGTGGGTAGTTGTGGGCTTAAAGAAGGAAATTAAACTATATTACAGTTAAACTAATTAAGAATATAAACTATCTTGAATTAGCCAGACGTTCAAATCCCGTTGCTAGACAGCCAAACGCACACACACACACGCACACACACACACACAGAGAGAGAGAGAGAGAGTGAGAGTCTGGCTAGTTCGCCTTATCGAGTGCTGCCTGTCGTACTGTGGCATGTGCTGTGTTTGTGTTGTTGTTGCTGCAACTTTTGAGCGCCTGTGCACATTCACTGGGGGGCAGTGTGTCGTCCACTTGTTGGTTTTGCTTTTAACTAACATTTGCAACTTATATAGTATATACATATATATATACATACACATATATACATACATACATATATATACATACATAGTTGAAATGCGTGCGCTACAAACTAAACATTTGCCTGCTGCAGCAAAACGTATTAATAATTAGCATTAACTTAAAAATAATCATAGGCGCATAATGTAAATTGTGTTTAACTAAGAATTAGTATTAGAATTATTACAAAAAATTAAATTGTTTAATTGCATAATTGTTAAAGTTAAACAATTAAATCAGTCCACGGTTAAAATATATATTATTAATGTTTTTCTCAACTAATTTCGAAAGTTTTGCGTGCTTTTGTTTTTGTTTTTTCATTTTTGTATTTTTCCTATATGACATACAGACACACAGATGTACATAAACAAACACACATTTAATTTATAAATACATACATATATATATTATGGTTATATATATAAATATATATATATATATATATGTGGGTATAGAACTGTGTGCGGCATTTATAGAGCCATTCTACATATAGTTAGAAACCAGTTTCAAAATTGAAGCGCAAATATATGAAATAAATTGTTGTGTTTTTTGTTTTTGTTAGTTTAGAAAATTGTAATTATTTATAGTTTAGTTTAGTTTTCTTTTCTCTTTTCTTTTTTTTGTTGTATGTTTTTGTTGTTGTTTTTAAGTGCTACACATAAGAGTTCTATAGTTTTAGCTATACACAGATAAAAAACGAATTAATTCAATGTGTCTGATTGTGAGGTAAATTTGGCAAACAAATTTGTTGTTGTCTGTCTGTGTGTGTGTTTAAATATAATATTATTTATATAACTTTTTGTTTATTACGACGTCTATGTGTGTATGTGTGTAGTTTTGTTTTAGACTAATTGCTAATTAATTTACATAGATTTTCAAAGCGCTTAAAATAAAAACATTTTTTAACTTGCTTTTAAGACCAAAAATTTGTTTGTTTTTTGTTTTGTTTTGTTTTGTTTTTCTACCAATTTTGTCAAGCACAACAAATTATTTTTGTTGCTCAAATTTGTGTTGTCTACGCTATTAATTTGTTTGCGTAATTTTTGTTGTTGTTTTTGTTAACAATAATTTTCTTCGAATTCGCTTGTTTTTGCTTTTGTGTTTTTTGTGCCGCTGCCTTAACAACAATTTCGCTTATTGTTGTTTTCTTAACTTTCTTTTCTTTTCGTTTTTTAGACTAGTTTCAGTTGAGTTACGTTACATTTTTGTATGTGTTTTAACTTTTAGCTTGCTTTCATTTAAGCCTATTTTTAGAGTTTTTCTTTTTGTTGTTTTAATTTTCTCTTAGTTGATTTCGGTGGTGGAATGCTTTAACTTTTAAACAAACAGCGCTTAAAAGTGTTTGGCGCCTTCAATTTAAACCTTGTTTCATTCATTCATTTGCTGTTGACGAGGGGGGGGGGGGGTGTGGAGGGGGTTGTTGTTTACAGCGGGGCGCTGCGCCAAAGCCCCTTGTCCGTGGCTTATATATATTATATGCCAGCCATTGTTGGTGTATTTGTGTGTGTGTTGTGTGTTGCTCAAGTGTTTGTTGTTGTTGTTGTTGTTGTTTGAGTGTTGCTTTTGATATTTTAGGCAGCAATCGCCTCATTTTGCCGTCATTCCCATTGATGCGGCGAAGGCGGCAGCTCCGAGGGATGCGCCACAGTTGAGCTGTTCGAAGAGTTGCAAGAAAATAACAAAAAATAATTAATTGCCTGTCATTTAACAATTTATACTTAACATTTAGATAGAGAGAGAGAAAGATATAGAGATATAGAGTGAGAGCGCGAAAGAGACGCACATGCAACAACTATTAACTAACATACAAAATAAGAGCTGTATTTAAGCCACAGTTAAAACGTGGTAAAAGCATTAAGCACAACAACCAAGTATAAATAAATAAAATATAAAACAAACAAATACAAACAAAAATGATGAAAATAAAAATATTAGCAAAATATGTTGAGAGCCCACAACAAAAAAAGGAAATCCATGAAAACTCAAGACAACAACGAATAGACAACAAACAAGACAAACTAAATAGAAAATATAATATTAGGAATTCTATGTTTTATTTGATTAATTCTGGACTTGAAGTGAAAGTTGTTCAAGCGGCATATTTATATATAAAACTACTTTCATTTTGACCATTGTCACTGCTGCTCAACTGCACTGAATTATATTTGTGATATATAGTATTATATATATCTGTATCTAAATCGGATTTTCAATTTGAATTTTGCTGTTTGTTGTTGCTGGCAGTGTTTAAGGGTTTAAGGCTATGTGGCTTTTATTTTGAATGTGGTTGCAAATGTTTGGCCAAATTCATGATATACAGAGCTTGATTCAGGGCCTAAAGGGGGCTTGGGCTGGTATTTGTATTTTTTTGGTGCTAAATTAGAATTAAATAATAGTTTCGGCGTGCCGAAGTTTGAATACCCTTGCAGTTTTATTATATATAGTATATATAGTTAATTTGAAGTAATTCACTTTAAAAAGAATTGTTTGAGGCAAAACAAAAGACATTTATATAAAAACTGAATTTTTAACACATATTTGCTGTGTTAGCTTAAATTATATAGCTTATCGTTCTGATTGATTTTGAATTATATGCATGCTATATTGCTAGAAAGCATCTGCACCAAGTTTGAACAACAAAGCCTGACTGGGAGATGAGTTTAGATAGATAGACTTGGCTTGGAATGCTCAGCGTGTTCTGCTAGTTAAACAAACGAGAAAGTAGGGATATCTCTGGCATGGCGAAGGTTGTAGACATTTCCCATTTGCAGCTATGTGGGAAGATTGAAGCTCGCAAATGCTGACTATGATGAAAATATCGTGAAAAACAGAATATTCTGCCATATAAGAACTACTGTTTGACTCATCGTTCCCATTGTAGCTATATGATATAGTGCTCCGATGTTGATAAGATTTTGCATTTATGAAGTTTGGTCAAGATATCTTGATAAAAAAGTTGTTCTACTGTTCGACCTATCGTTTCCAATAGCTATATGATATAGTGGTTCAATCTGTACAACAGAAAGTCGGACCTATAGAAATTTTCACGACGATAAAGTGAGAGACTAGTTCGCATAGAAAAAGACAGCCGGACGGACAGACAGATAGACAGACGGACTTGGCTATATCAACTTGGCTGTTGTTGCTGATCTAGAATATATATACTTTATGTAGATGTCGCCTTCTATGCGTTACACTTTTCATGACTGAATTAAAATATCCTCCAAGGGATATACAAAATAGATATGTGCATTTTGTTTGATCAACATTTTAAAATGCCAACCGCAAGGGTATTATGTTCATTTAAATACCGAAATATTATGAATTTATTGTTGTACATTTGTATGATAATGGATCTGTGTGTGTGTGTGTGTGTGCACATTTGCTACGTCAATGTAAATGGCAGAGCTGAATAGTGTATGTGAGTTTATTGAATAAAGTTGATATTTAATGCTGTACACAATATGCGAATAGATATGTTATATGAGTTGCAAAAATGGAAACATATAAATTGGCTAGGGGGGGGGGGGGGGGGTTGGGTGGAGGTAGAGATATGTATGTATATGCATGGGGTTTATATGATTATTGTTTCTTGCTTTGTTCGAAATGTCCATGAAAAGTGGTGCGTATTTGTTTCCTTTTTCGATATTTATGCATTTTAGATACTTTTTTTGTTCTTTTTTTTTTTTGCGGCCAATTGCTGTTTGCATTTGTTTTCAGATTTCGGCGACCAATTTCTGACATTTATAAACAATTTTGCAATACACACGAGTTAGGAGTTGCCATTTTTGGTTTGTTTTAAACATTTATGTACACAAATAACCCATTTAATTAATTAATGTAAGGAAAATAATGAGTTAAGTCATGTTTCAAACTTAAAATATTAAAAAAGTTTTTATACACATTTGCGATTAACAAACAGAAGGAGTAAAAAAAAACAAGTATACATATACACATATATATATGTTTATATGGTGAACATAGGTATTAAAATCATATATAAAATATATATAAAAAAAAATGGTAAATTATAGTTTTTTATTTTCTTAGCAAATGTATAGCAATAGTATGTAGTTGCTTAATCAACAGACCTAAAGATTCAAGATCGCGCGCACATGGGAGTTGCTGCTGCCGAGGCCCCACACAACTGCAGTGTGTATCGATATATATCGATTCGATTCGATTCGATTGCTTGGTATCTTTCTTGCTTTCTTTGCTCGCTTGCCTTTCTTTCTTGCTTTCTTTCTTTCTTTCTGGCGGCAGTTTTGTTTCTAGTTTTATTTTTGTGACTTCTGGCTTGATTCTTGATTCGTTCTGTTTTCTGTGTTGACTTGACTTTATTGGTTTATATATATATTTATCGGTTAATCGGTTAATCGGTTTATCGGTACGCGCCTAGTACTTGTACTTGGCCTTGGCCTGCGCAGCGGCAGCGGCGGCGGCAGCGGCGTCGCGGCGTAGCAGCGGCAGCAGCAGCAGCGACAGGAGGAGCAGCAGTGCAAGTTGTGGTAGTAGTGGTAGTAGTAGTAGATATTCTCATTCTCATTGGCTTAACAACGCAAATATAATAATTAAATTTAATAGAATTTATTTTATTCAATATTAATATCGTTGTTCAAATAACACACACAAAAAAACGATATAGGAAAAAAAAGAGAGAAACAAAAAATTAAAAAATTGTTTAAATATATATATTAATTTATATAAGAGATATCAACGTAGAGGAGATAGACAGAGAGAGAGAGAGAGAGTTAGAGATTGTTAGAAAGAGAGAGAGAGAGAGAGAGAGAGGTAAGCAGTTTGGGGCTGGACGGATTCGGACTTGAAGCGTTGACAAAACAAAAACTTTGCCGTCTTAAAGAGGAGACAGAATGTGCGTAAAAAAGTAAAGAGAAGAATTTTATTTTTCAACTGAACAGCATATTACGAATTTTTGGAACAACAACAAAAGAATAAATATAAAGAGAGTAAGAGATAGAGATAGTTTCGAAGAGTGTGGATTTGTGGTTGGGTTATGGATGGGGCGGACGAGGGCATAAAATTTAGTTTGTAGCTGTTACGCAACGTGCAACACGTGTTTTATGGTTGATTGCAACTCACCTGGCAAAGCTCTTAAAGGCCGCACTCTGCGGATTAATGCAAAGCGGTACACGGCCCGTTTGCAGCTGCTCGGCAATGAATTTATGCATTTCCTCTGGAAAATTGTATGTGAAAATAAATAGGGTTAAGTTTGCTGGGGAAGTTTTCGTTTAGTTTATGCATTCGACTTACCCTTCACCTGCTGCACGGAGGTGAGCTTGCGCTCCCATAAATCATCAAAGGGCTGCCCGGCGGATGGCTCAAAGTCCGCCGTATACTGACGCATACCAGCTGAGGTAGTGAAACAGCATTTGCACATGCACGAATGATAGCGCAGACGACCCTCATCCAGATACGGATGCGCCAGGGCATCTGTCACTGAAATGCGCTTGTCCTGTGTGTTCCGATGGAGGGGGAGAGGGGGAGACGGAAGGCGAGAGGGGTTAGAAAAGAAGATTGAGCGTCGCTTAAGTTGGCCCACTTACCGGATCAAAGACAAGCATCTGGCATAGCAAATGCACCGCCTCGTGCGTGGCATGTGAGCTGAGCGTATAGAGGACCGAGAAGGATGGCGGCTTTGGGGCACGCCTCAGCATGTGGGTGCGTGCACCCTCGCAGGCATGACGCATATCCTCCATGGTGGGTGTGCCCAGCAGCTCGGTGATTAGCTCCAGCTGCTGCACAGGATTCTGCGCCTGGAACAGTATACGCCGGCCAAGCAGCTCGCCAAAAATGCAGCCCACCGACCACACATCCACCGCCGACGAATAGTGGCGTGCACCCATGAGTATCTCCGGCGCCCGATAGTATTGTGTGACCACCTCCTGGGTCATGTGCTTGGCCTGGTCCGGCTCCTCGACGCGTGCCAGCCCAAAATCGCATATCTTGAGCACACAATTCGAGTTGACCAGCAAATTGCCCGGCTTGATATCGCGATGGAGTATCCGTGCCGAGTGCAAATACTTCAGGCCGCGCAATATCTGATAGAGAAACACCTTGATGTGATCGGCAGACAGATGCTGTGGCGACACTATGATCTTGTGCAGATCCGATTGCAGCAGCTCAGTTATCACATAGCTAAAGTACACTCGAGTTAAGGAAGTAATCAATATGAAGCACTTGGCAGATCCCAATGCAAAAAAATTCGCCTAAAAATTCATTGAATCGCATTTTGGACAGGGAAAGCTTGGATTTTGCAAAAAACTGTGAAACAAGTCTCAAATGATTTTACATGAAGATCTTAGGAAATTAATTTGAAGGCAAAATTTCACCCGGGGATCTTAGAAAATGAGTTTGTTGACGATCGAATGGTAAACAAAACGATTTCCTAAAAACATTTTTCGCCATTTTTCGTTGATTACCAACCAATTTGTCAGTTAGTCATGACAAACTGTTTTATATATGGATAGGGTATTATATATTTCTAAATAGTTAGGCAAACAAACACATTCGCCCATAAAACTCATCTCTTCTTAAATCAATCTTGTTATAATTGGCTTGCTTGTTATAATTGATATGCTGATCAGTAATAGAGATTAAAACATTGGATACAAAGATGTAATCTATACAAAAAAAGAAATTCACCTGCATTTTGGTGCTAATTCCATTAATATCATCCGTTTACCCAATACATCTACATAAATATCTATCCAAGTAAGGCTGCATAAAGGCGGAGCTCCTAAAGATCCGCAATTACCTAAGCTGAAACCCCGCAAGACAACTAAATTTGTAATTCCCACAACTTTGCAACTTTGCTGCATTAGTTGTCTTTTTTTTTTTCGTAGTTTTTCGTAGTAAAAAAGGATACATTTCCTGAAAGAAGTCCAAATGTGGTGGCTGTAAAATGTCCAAAGCTGACAGCACCTGCAATGGTATAAGGGCAAAACGTTGTTAAATTTCGTAAATAAATCTCGCACACAAGACACAAAGTAATAAAGACGAGTGTGTTTATTGGCTGTGGCATTAGCTGCATAAATCTTAAAACAATGCTGCAGCATTACACCTACAACAACAGCAGCAGCAGCAGCGGAGGCGGCAGCAACAGTAACAACAATGACGCCCATTTGAGAGCTGGCTTCATCTTGGTTAAGATCATAAATTATGCACTTCAATAAAATATAAATAAAAATCAAGCTCGCAGCGCATCAAATGCGCCATTTAGTTGCATGTTAAGTGTCGTTGCCAGGCACTAAAATGCCACAAAGTTCAGCAGCAGCAGCAGCAGCAGCAGCAACTTGCAACAACAACTTGCAACTTGCAACAACAACAACAGCAACGTTGACCCGTTGATGATGTTTAGCGGCAGATACAAAACACGCCACTGTCTGCGGAGCTGCTTCGGGGGAGTTGTCCGTTTGTCTGCAGCAGAAGGCAACGGCTTTATACATATATAAAAAAAAAAAGAAGCGAAAAAACAATAAATAAAAAACGGGACGAACCGGCAAGAACTTGATGGACAGCAGAACACAAAGGCAACATTCACAGCAACAACAACAACTACAACAACAACTACGTTGGACAAGCGTCGACAGTGCCAAAGCCCTGAGCTGCTGTCTCCTCCCCCACCCCTGTCCCGCAACCCCTCTGAAGCTACCTTTTTGTGCAGAGCCAAAGCCTGAGCTACCAGACAAGCGCTGATTTATTTTGCTTGCGGTCAAAATGATGAAGGAACTTCCCTCCACCAAAAGGCCAGTCAACGGCCACATTTGCCGCAATCCCCCAGCACAAATCTAACAAGGATGAGGCACAGCTGCGCGGGGGCTGTGTTGTGTGTTGCAAGCAAGGTTGCAACATGCTTTTGAATCGAAACGATGTGGTGCGTAGCCCGAACTTTTATTTGTTAGTTATTATGAACCGAATCTTAAGCCAAGTTAGTAAGCCGAATCCTCGAACAGAAACATTTCTTTTTTTTTTCTTTCATAAAGAAATCTGGAGAAAGACCTAGCAGCAAAATATTTAATAGATGCATATTATAATTATATAAAAAATATAATTAAAATTTAATAAAGTATAAAAATAAGTAGACATTGGAGTTTAATAATTTTAAGTACCAAAGTGTTCAGTTGAAATACAAATTGAAATTAAATTATTTTATTAAAAATTTAAAACCAAATAAATCAATGTTTAAATCAAAGTCCAGCTTTCAGCTATACAAAACGCACCTAAAGGCAGGAAGCTGGTTCGAATCGTAAGTCGAACTAGCAACTATTCACTTTTTTGGCTTTGCAGCCCTGGTTGCAACAGCCTGTGTGACACATGTGTGTGTGTTGCAACAAAGCTTGAAAATCAATTTTCAATATCAATCTGCAGACCCAAATTCGAGTAAATGGGGTACAGAGAAAATGCGAATGCGTGTGGCAACAAATATGTTGCACAACTCACACACACACACACACACACACAACCTTTATTGTTAGACCGTTTTTCTGGCCTGTCTTCCCCACTGCCTGGATTTGTCTGTCGGAAAAAAAAAGGCCACAACATTTTTGCGCACTTTTCGCAAAACAAAAAAAAAGCACACACAAAAAGTGCCGCCGCGCTGCTAAGCCGCCGATTTCGAGTTGGCTTTAAGTGGCAACAGTTTTCAGCTTTTTTTTTAACATTACTTTTTTTTTTTATTCATTTACAAAAGCTGCCTCTGAGTGTCGAGTCTTTGAGGATTTCGCAGCGTCTTTGGCTGCGTTTTTGCCTCAGTTCTCTTGTAATATTTTCAATGCTGTTCGCTGCGGTAATTTGGCGACTGCATTTGTTGCGCTTGCGGTTGCACATGCTGCAACAACAACAGCAACATCAGCAACAACAACAATAAGAAACAAGTAGCCATAAGGAAAAACAGTGGTAAGTGCAACCAAGCGAAGCTTAAAAACTTTAACTTTGACTTTAATCAGAGACATGACGTTTATGCTGGAAGTAATAATGATATCAATAGTAAATAACAGTACAAAAGATATTTACAAAATTGTGATATATAAGTACGATTTTATAACTCAAATGCCTTAATTTTTTTTAAAGAAATTTAATGTTTTTAATGTAATTTTAATAATTATTAGCTTATCTATATTTGTCTAGATTTTTACATTTGAAGTCTTAAAACAAACAGATTAAATAAAATAATTTGTTTTTACTTTAGTAACATTTTTTATTTGTAGCTAGGAAGCAAGCAAAAATAAAAAGGCTTCTGGAAAAATGCTGACAGCTAAATTATTATACTTCAAAGTTTTACAAGGAGCATAAATAAAGTATTTAAAAGGCTTTCAATTCTAGAGTTCTAAAAGGGATATTCCTGTAACTCATTTAAAACATTTTCAGTCTTTATTAGATATTTAAGATGTCCGAAAGTAAATTGTTTTTTAACTTGCTTTTTATGTTAAACTGGTAAATATAAAATAATCAAAGCTGCATGTTGGCCAAACAGAATATAATACAAAAGGGACTACCCCTATTACTCCATTCAACAAAAATAGTTCCGCGAGTCTTCTCTGGTAAGTAGCCCCCCTTTTGGTCAGTGCATAACAAAAACCTTCAAGTTAGTCAGTTGCTTTAGTTGCTTGCTGCTTGTTTCGCACATAATTTGTTGCAAGTTGCCGTTGTTGTTGCCGCTGCTGCTGCCCGTAGCAGCTACCTGGGCCCGCTGCACTGTTGGCCCCACACGTGCGTCGCTGCGCTGCGCTGCAGCTAATTAACATTTCGCTGTGGCAGGCAACGCAATCAGAAACCAAATTTATGCAGTTCAAAATTGCCAAGCTTTTGGCTGCTGTCCTTGAAGCTGCTTACAAAAGGTTTTTAGAGAAAATATCAAGAAACGTAAAAAAAAGGGGGAAAAAAAAATGTTGTTCTTAAGCGAAACTAGGCGTGTAATAATAATAAACACAAACAACAGAAGCAACAACAAGAACAACAGCAACTAACGAGCTGAGCAAACAACTTAGACAACAACTTTGCTGAGGTGCAACTACACAAGTTGCAAGTGGCAGCAGCTGTTGTGGCAAGCGACGAGGAGGCAAAAAAAAAAGAGCATACCTTGACCAAAGCTAACATAATCAGGAACAGCATCTTTTCTGACCCCGCCCCAACCCATGCACGCCCTTTGCGGGTCTTTAGATGATTTCAGTTGAATTTCAAGTGGCAACAACTCGAGTCAACTCGAGTCGTCTTTAAACAAAAGCAAAAGTGTTGCTGGCGACATTTTCAAAGCAAGCTAAAAATTCTAGCTAAATAATTGTTGCAGCCAGCTGCTGACAACATTTCCAGTTGTTGTTTCTTTGTTTTTTTTTGTTTTTCCTACTGACTAATTAAAAAGCCACAGATATTTGTAAGAGATTTTGTCAGCTGCTGCTTGTTGTTCTTGCTGAGACCTTGAAAATGGATCAGAGAGCCAGGTTGAAAATTGTATAATACCTTTTCCAGCTAAATAGAAAAAAATAAAGTGGAAAAACCTGGCAGCAGCTGCGACTTAGCGTGAGACTTGGAGACCGGGAAAGACAATTCAGTCGAGCTCAGTTCCACTTGACATCGATTGCCAAAACATAAACAACTCCGGCCGAAACGCATCAGCCATATCGCGGGTTTTGGCAAGAAATGAAATTGACATTTCAATTGGAATTTGCTGCGCCAAGAAGAAGAAGAGCGCCCCAAATAATAACAAAATTTGCATGCAATTGATGCCAGGCATCAAACTCGAAACTCAATCATTTACATCAGGCTGCAGGGAGCGCAGGAGCGGAAGGGTGGGTTGATTGGGCGGGGGGCAAGCAAATCAAAGGCAACACTTCGTCGCCGACAAAAAGCGGCGGCTGCATGTGAGAAATGCTTCTCAAAATGTGCGCCACGTACGTTGCAAAATCTTTTATTGAAATTCGCAATTGAAATAAGCAACAACAACAACAACAATGCATAATGGGGCAAACATTTTGCAGCGATTTGTTAAAATGTATATTGCACACATTCACACATACACATACAATGTGCATTGCAGAGCAAACACACACACACACACACACACACACACACACACTCTTGGCATTCTGTGCCATATAATGCAAAAGCAATTGAGACGATTGCCAGTGCCTTTGCCGTCACTCAAAGCGCTGTTACTATGTATATGTTGTATGTACGTGTGTTGTGTGTGTGTGTGTGTAGGACTTGGGAATTGTTAGGGAATTGGCAAGAAGCAAACCAAAGCAGCCATGTCTCACACTATCTACTCAGAACAAAAAGCGCAGCAACTGTACACAGATAAAAAAGTAGATAAAAAAATATATATATACAATATACATATATTCAAGGAATGAATGCAAAATTTTGACAAATTTTTGAAAAATAACTTAAATTTAGCAAGCAGAGTTCCCTTAATTTTGTTTTTTTCAAAAAACTTCCTCAACAACTTTATATTCTAAACAACACAATTGTAGTTAGAACTGTTTGGGAATTCTAAGAGAAATCTAATTCGTTTGTTAATGTATTTCAAGTTATTTCACTTGCACTGAATATTACATAAATTTTAAGCATAATTAAGCATAAGTTTTAAATTAATTTAAAATTAAACGAGATAATATAATATAGTTGTAGCTAGAACTGTTTGGGAATTCTAAGAGAAATATGTTTCGATTCACAATGTCTCTCAGGCTAGTTTATCGTAGTTGAATATTACATAACTTTAAAGCACAATAAAAAAGGTGAGGGCTAGTCTTGTTTGTTTGAAGACCTTTTTACTATGCAGCTGATTTTTTGGCTGGCTAGAGGAGCTTGAGGTTTGTTGTAAAACGAAAATAAAAAAAGTAATTTACAACCAAAAATGTAGCTGTTAAGTGAGAAATTTAATATTGTATGCTGGTAACGGGTTGTAACTACTATGAATTTCAGTTCCTCAAAGCAAAAGGCTGAAATTGTGTTCAAGTTAATTTACCCTATGAATTCGCATTGGAATTTACGTTCACATAGCTCACTTAGTTGTCGGAACAAAAACGAAATATTGAGCTCTCTTCACATTAAAAATAGCTCTTAATGAAGGCTTCTCACACACCCACACCATTATACAAATATGTATATATATATATATTCCACCCACGTGATGAATGCTGTGCTGCGCTTTGGTCACACCTTAACGCCCATTGAATGCGACGTCTCGAGCTCATTTTAGGTTGATTGCACTTGCTTAGATATGACGACGGCGGCGTTGCATGTAGGAAATGAAAAAGGTATTGAAACAGGAAACCAACAATAGACACACAGCAGCAGCAGCAGCAGCAGCAGCAGCAACACACGTCAAGCCTATTTTTCTTCTTCCTCTGTTTTTTCCTTTTTCATAAAGCACTTTGCATATTAATACAAAATTTGCATAGGTGTTGCAAGGTGTTCGCATGTGTGGGCAGAGTTGGCTTCATTAGGGCAACTCTTCAAATGCATTGCACAATTTGGACTTAAAGCTAACTTAATTAAAGAGTTGAGTTGGATATAATAGCCTGTGCTATCTATCGATCCCTCTCTCTCTAAGTGTTGGAAAATACAATAGTTTGTGACATTTGAAGCTAGCTTCAAATCATGTGTGTCAAAAAATATTAGAAAAGTACGCCTTACTCATTTTAGTCTAATGACTGCATTGACATTTTGGCCACAGCAAATGTCAAAAAACTATCTATATAAAAATTATAAAAAAAATATAGAAATAAAAAGCAAGTTGCGGCATCACGAAGATAAAATACTCTTGCAGACATTTATATAATGATTTAGCAGATATGATATTTGGTAGATATGATTAGGGATTTGTAAATATTATTAATTGCTGTTAGATCAAACTAACTTGAAAAGCAGAAACGTTTTTCATACAAGAAATCACATCTTCATAGATTCTTTCTATAAAGCCATAAGATATAATAGTCTGAAGATTTTGTTCATATGTAGGTAAGTTTGATGAAGATATCTTTGAAAATAAAATCCTTTCTAAGACAACAACATAATTTTAGACGGACAGTTACTATAGCAGCTAAATGATATATAAATCCTATATGATATGATATGATCCGATCAATTCTCAGATCCGCACAGCCTGCAACAGAAAGACGGACTCTAGAAACAAGCAGACAATATCTCTATATATATTCTCCTTTAGATATATTCTCCTTTATAATGACAAAATTATAATACCCTGCCTTAAAAGGGTGTAATAAAACACAATCAGAGATCGGATTGTGCACGTGCTTGTAACAAAAACGAAATGTAATATTCAGATAAATAAATTAAGGCAAATCGACACAAAGTCACATAAAACTGGCCATAAAATCGCGGACAATGCAGCTGGGTCGACCTCTGCTCGCCACTCGGTGATATTTTAACATTTTATTAATAATTCTAAATGTTATATGCATAACAATAATTCTTTGAAATTTTGCTGCCATTTGCTGCCTGTCCACATGCCTCGCTGTCTGCTTGGCTGTCAGCCCCCCCTCCTCCCTCTCCCCCTCTCTTACTGTCGCCGTGTTAACAAATTTGCATGCAACAAAATGTTGGGCAGTTTTCAAGTCTCCGAGTTTTTTTTATCTGGTTTTCTTTACAATTTGTTGTGCATAAAATTTGGCTTGTCATAAATTTATTTGGCCCGACAGCCTTTTGTGGCAACTGGCAGCCGTGAGCGCTGAGGGCGTGCCCCGCCCCGATGTGGGCGTTACTTAACAATATGTTTGTTTATTTTTTTTATTTTTTCCTTCAATTTCTTGTTGCTCATTTGAATCTGTGCATGCGCAACAGCAACTGCAATGAATATGAATGAGTTAATTAGTGCTATGAATGATTGATTCACAACTGTCTGGCAAACAGATAGATCAGAGCCACTTTGGGTACTCAGAGAACTCGGGACATGTGAAATATGAATCTGAAATGTATCAAGTTTTGGGGCAAAGGTGTGACTCACTTTTTGACTGAGCTGGGCACGTCTGAATAAAAGCGGCCACAGTTCAACTTTGAGGCTTTTGAAGTGGATTTTGTTTCGTTGTATTTCTTCTTTGAGTTCATAACCTTCTTCGGGGGGTTCAGTTTTATGCCTAATGTGTTAACAATTCAATTCAATTTTGATCTTTGTGTGCACACATATCAAATTTACTTACTCCAGCTCAGTTTGTTGCCGAGTTCTCGTAGTTTTAAATGCCCAGAACAAATTTACATTGCACTTAAGTGAAGCGTTTAATTAATGACAATAATTACACAGCCAATAAACGACACTTGGTTGACACTAAAGCAACAACTGCCATGCGATTTTGAGTTGAGTTGAGTTGAATTCAGAAGGCCATAAAAGCGACTATTTCTGCAGGCCTGTCACAGGAAAAGGCTCGGGCTACTGAGCCACGACAACGTTTAAATTGTAAATATAACAAAAAAAAAGAATAAAGATAAATATAAATATAATGGTTAATAAATGCACACATAACAAGCTAAGCTGAGTGAACGACCAAAAGATGCGCTTTAAACAAAAAATGAATATACATTTTTATAAATTTTAAATGCATATGCATAAAGCAGCTGTTATGCCCGGCTGGCTGCTCAGCTTTACAGGCATTACAGGGTATTAAAGCCGCGTGCTATAAAGCTGCCAGAAATGGAGCGCATTCTGCACTCACTGCGTATACGTAATATTCAGGAGTGTGTGTGTGTGTGTAAAGTGTAAAGTAAAAAACTGACTCAAAATATTTACATTGCGTGCGGATAGTGCCTGTCGCAACAAGGGCTCCAGCAACAACAGCACAAATAATCGAATTGGATTTTTTAATTAAATTTGATGTCATAAACGCGACGCGTAATTAAATGTAAAGCATTTTTTTATTCTTTTGTTGCAAACGTAATTCCACAATGTGTTTCATATATGCATCCATATTAATATCGTATATGTGCATGTAGTTATACTAAAGGAAAATTGTTGTTGAGTACTTACGTTCTCATGCTTGAAAAAGCATAGCATTTTCAGTTCACGAAAAACGCGCTTAGATGAGACCAAAGATTGAAACACATTTGGCAGCTTTTTCAGTGCGACGCGGCGTCCATCGCGCGGATCTGTGACGGCCCTGTAAGAGAGAAGCAAAATATAAGTTAGAGATAAGTTGATAAATAAAAGGGAGAATAGTTCACGCAGTTGAGTCTAAAAGCAGAGGTAAGTTCAATGTAAGAGAGACTAGTGAAAATATCTTAATGTTTTTAGAGCAGAAGCATTAATAGATAAGTTAGATGGTAAAAAGTAGGCAGAGAAGCTGGTACAGATAAGTTCCATGTTAAAAGAAAGAAGCTGAAGTATTTTAAAATCCAGAAGAGCCGAACAACCTTTATAGATAAGTTATATGGTAAAATCTATAAAGAGAGGCTACTATAGATAAGTTTAATGTAAGTGAGAGAAGTTCAAGTATTTGACATTTCAGAAGAGCAGAAACATTATTAGATAAGTTACATGGTAAAAAGTATATAGAGAGACTTGTAGAGATAAGTTCCATGGTAAAAGAGAGAAGAACAATTCAGAAGTGTGTAAAAAGCAAACAGAGCTAAGTTTCATAGCGAGACAGAAATTCAAATATATATTTTGTATAGAGTAAGCAACCGTTTAACAATTAGGAAGAGTTGAAGCTTTTATAGATAAGTTGCAAAGTAAAAGCAAACAATTTAAATAAAAGAAAACTCAGCGATAAGTTTTTAGGTAAATAGCAGAGAGAGAGAGAGAGAGAGGGAGAGAGAGAGGGAGAGAGATAGGCAGAGAGAGAGCTTACATTAACAGCACACACTTCAGGCAGAGCAGCGGAAAGAATGGGAACTAAACTTTGCATTAGTATCGTCGAAACAATAGACTCTCACAAAAAGCTGCGAGGCACTCGAGAGACACAGAAACAAACAAACAAACAGGCAAAGCACACAAACAACAATTGTCGATTGTTTTTTGTCTCGCAAAAGTGGTTCATTGAACTTGGCTAACAGCGAACAGCGACTGGCAAGAGGCCTACAACGCCTAGAAGTATGCTAGCACTCGGCTACACGTACGCTTCTCCCTTCCAAATTGATAAACGTTGCAAATTAGCAGCGCAAAAAGGTCAAACAACAGACGCGACGCAGCTCGTGCTACACTTTGGCTGTGATGCCATGCCCCCCATTCTCCACGCCTACTAATTTGCGGCAAGTGCGTGTGTTCTCAGCTGCAAACAACGGCAACGTGGTTGTCGCCGCAGCGGCGTCAACTCGAGACAACAACAACGAACCGATGCGCAGCTTTTAGCTAGAGTTTTATGATGCCATTGGCCATGGCCAAAAAGTGCGAATGTCTGAGCCAGAAAGGGCGACGACGTCTTTGTCGCCGTCTGTCTGACTCACTCTGCAGTTGTGAACATCTATTTAGTTCGCACTCCCCGCTCACTCTCTCTCCCTCTCACGCTTTTTTTCTCACACTGCGAAATTGCAGCCGAAAAATATTTTTGTTATGGTTTTTAGCTTTGGGAAAAATATAAGAACGACTTTCTCCTGTTCAACGAAGACTAAATACCCTTGCTGATATATGGCTTACGATTTTGCAGACATGCGAGCGGGATAGTAATGCTAAATTTGATAAATCTAGAGAAAAGTATCAATTTTCGATAAGTGATACTCATTTTATGACCGACTTTTCTTACAGAGCTATATGATACGGTGATCCGATGTAAATAAGAGTTTGATAAAAACCTCTTTGAAAACAGAAAATGTTGGCATACAAAAATGAATTATTCACAACTGATTCCTTCTATAGTACTATATACTTTACTAGTGAGTCGTCTCTGGATACTGATCATGAATATATATATTCTTACACACTTCAATACCCTCCCTATAAGGGCATACAAAATTATTACGCAGCATCTTATTTTTACCAGACTTGTCAAGTGTTTCCTAGCCTTCCGCCCAGACTTCTCCTGCTCCCGCCTTATGTCTTTATCTTCATCTATGAAAAGTAGCCTGCCGTAAATCTTTGGAGTCGTCGTTAAGCGTTGAAATTATGGCAAATTGCTGTAAATTGGATTGAATTTCTCGTCGTGCAGATGACTCAGCATTTGTCGCCAGCTCCCCGCGCGCTTTTTTTTTTATTTGTAGTCTACAATCGGGCGCTCGTCCTGGCCATTTGCATGTCTAATGGCAAACGGGCCCAACTGTCGGCCTCTTAATGATAATGAGCTGATTATACAAATCGAAACATTGTGTACTATATACAGGGTATTATGCTAAATTATCCTCCGGCAAAGTTTTCTTTTGCAAAGAGGAGGCGAATGTAGTGTTTTACGGTTTATTAAGCATATCGCTTAAGAGCTTAAGGGTTTAAAGCGTTAAATGAAAGAGTCCTTAGATTTTTTTAAAGATCAAACTTAGTTTAAGGTAAGTAAATAACTAGAGAAATAATATAAATGCGAATAGAAACATTTTTTGATTCCAAAACAAAAAACGGGATTTTATTTTAAGCGATTGCAATCAATCTTTGTACAAATTAATTTAAGAAATGTTCCACACTTTTGTATAAAAGGGGGTCAAAGATTTGGTGGGTGATATTTCGGGTTCAAATTCAAATCCAAGGATCTTTATGAAAAATTAATTTTATTTCCAAGCTTCCTCTGTGGAAAATGCAATTCAAGAAATTGTTTGGCAAAGTTTTAAGTTTTGTCCGATTTGCTTCAAACTTATTTTCATATTTCAACCTAAGATATGAATTAATACGTGTTTCGGCGATTCTGGATATTCCATCCAAAACTGAGGAAACCATCCAAACTGAAATATTACACATTTACGGGCCGAAACTTGATAAAACAGTTTGATTTAAAATTTGAAGAACAAAACGTGCCATGGGTAATTCCGGGAAATACTCGCTAGTATTTATATAAGATTCTTGATTTATTAAAAAGCCAATGTATCTCTTTCTTTTGTTCAATCGAGACTCTGCTCGAAAATTGGCATCAGCGACCGTTGGGTCGGCTGTGGAGTATCAGAAAAAATCTCTTTGTTTTCCCCATCAATTTGGGCTTCTTTTCGCTCAAAAACTGCGTCATTTAGTTGGTTACTCTACAAAAAAAAAGAAGAGACCTTGACGTCAAAGTCAAATCAAAAGGAAAATTCAAACATATATTTTCAGGCAGACACACACACTTGCACACTTGCACACACACATTAATATTTGATGGTTATCCATCAAATTCAAGAAAAAATCAAACATCGCTGCTCGCCCGCTGTCTGCTGCCCCTCTTCGGGTCTGTTTGTCTTTTATTATTATTTCTATTAATTTTATCATCTCATGTCGAAGCATCAAGTTACAAAAGTAAAAACAACACACACAAGCGGAAAATTCAACTTTAAGATAGAAGCATCAGAGCTCAACTATCTTAACTTTTTTACTACGCATTTCAGTTCTCGAATTGGGTTAAACAAATCTTCTTTTTTTTTCTTACATGGAAAACCACACACAAGAAAAATTGAAGAAAAATCGTTGAAAAACTAAGACAAATAATTCTGATGTAGACAGTTGATAAAATGTTGGTATTTAGGAGGGGATGGGTGCGGGGGCAGGGGTAAAGGAATAGAGCACAGAGAATGCCGCCGCCTTCGTCGATGATGGATGACAAATGCAAGCACACGCACACACAGACACACACGTAGGCACACACACACGCATAGGTACACACACGCACAGCATGTGCTCTCGAGTCGTAGTTTCTATGGCTTTGGCTTTGTCCTGCTGTTTCCCTGCGCTACGCCCTTTAGATTTCTTTCTCGTTCTCAATGGCAGTTAATGGAAAATCATTTATCATGTGCCGGCACTTGAGGCAGCAGCTTAAAGAAAAACCAGATTCTTAAGAGCCCAGTGAAACAAAAAGTGCCATAACTAAATGATAATTACCCAGACAGCAGCCAGCAGCCAGCAGCCAGCACAAAAGCTGAAATCCTACACTAAAAGATTATTGCCTGCGATGTTGTCTCTGTTGTTGTAGCTGGTTGGTTGCTTGGTCGGAGGCCCTTTTTGGCTGGAACTCTTGTAGGGCTCATCAATTTGTGCTGGACAATTTGTGCACGCAATGTGAAAACTGTAGCAAATCGTGGCTAGTCTTTTGATTGATTCCACAAAATTAAACAAGAGACTTGCAGCTGAGAGTGTCTGACAGGTAGATTCACTGTGTATTATAGCTTATTCCAAACGCATGGAGGGTCTGAGCATCTGGTTAGGATACCAAAACCTATATACCCAATTTGGATTTTCATATCCTAATATTTTCTGAGATCTATTACGACTATGCAGATATAAAGAGTAAGATCTTTTGTTGTTTTAATTATATATTTCTTGACATATCTTTGTAGTTTTCTAAAGCATTTCTTGATATATCTTTGCAGTTTTATAGTGCGTATTCTTATATATGATATATTTTTGTACTCATATATTTCATCTCTATATATAAAACTGTTTGTCCTGACTGACTGACTGACTGACTGACTGACTGACTGACTGACAGACTGACTGACTGACTGACTGATTGGTGATCAACGCACAGCCCAAACCGTAAGAGCTAGGAAGCTGAAATTTTCACTGTAGCTACCTTATGTGATGTAGGTGCACGTTAAGACGGGGTTTCAGGAAATTCCACCCGCAAGTGTGGCAAAATCGCGAAAAACGTTTGTATGTAACTTTTTTGTTTACCATCGGATCGGCCTCAAACTTATTTTCAAAGATCTTTGTTCAAATTCATTTGAGAGGTGTTTCACACTTTTCGAAAAATACGTTCCTCCTTGGTGGAAATGGAGGTCAAAGATTTGGTGGGTGACGTTTCGCGCTCAAATTCATTTGCAGAGATCTATAAGAAAAATCATTTGAGACGTGTTTACCACTTTTCGCAGAATCCAAACTTCTTCGGGGGGAATGCGATTTAAAGATTTTTTGGGCGACGTTTTAAGTTGTGTCCGATTTGCTTCACTTATTTTCAAAGCTCTACATAAGAACTTAATAAATACGTATTTCAGCGATTTGGGAAATTCCACCCGCAACAGTGATAAATTGGCTGAAAACGGTTGTATGAAAGTTTTT